GCTCCGTGGGCGGATGCACCCTACTTGGTAGACATGCGGGTTTAGAGGTTAGGTTTAAGGGGGGGGGGTTTGGGTCGACCGGAGTGCAGTTGGGGTGCTTTGATGGGAGGGCTTGATGGTGTTCCAAATGGGCGTGCTAGTGGTGTTTTCTTGAGGTTGTTTCTTTTGCTTTTTCTACCTACCGCTCCCTGTTTTTCTTCCTCCTACCGGTTTTCCCCCATTTCACAACCTTCTTTCTTCCTCTTTCATTTTTTCAACTCACGTTATTCTTCCTTGTCTTGTCCATTTCCGTTTCCTCTTATTTTCCTTGCGTAACTGTGATACATTGTACTATTTCATGTAGTAAGTATGCATTCCTAGAATTATAACAAAGAAAAAACATATATGTGTTCTGTATAGTTTGCTCGAATTGGTACAGTATTCATTCTAGTACATCCTGAAGTGGGATGCTTGTATGGCTCGAGGGCCTGTGCTACACATTGGAGCTTTTGTTAAGACCAATAATGTCATGATTGGCATGAACCTCAGTTCCTTAGACACAGGGAGAACGTCAACTAACGGTGTCTAAGTGATGTTGGAGTGCGATCGCGTCCAGTTTAGTGGTAATCAACACCTGCAGTTCGTCGGTTTTTTGACGGATGCTTGCAATGCCAGCCCGGAGCATCTGAACCTCCCGGGTAAGCCTAACTATCTCCAATCGCTGCGCTAGGTTGTGCCGGATTGTGGAAGCTTCGGCCTCCACTGATACGGACCCCTCCTCTTGACGCCGACGGTAGGGCCCTTGCGACGGCAGGATGACACCCTCCGCCTGTAGTTGCAGCGTGAGTGCTCCGCACAGAAGTGATGATACCTGGGATTGTAAGATGACCCGATAGTCCGTCGGGTCCATTTCGAGATACAGAGGCCCTTCAATGTTCAGAAAATCTTGTTTAACTAGGGTACGTAGAAACATGCATGTGTAAATACCACAGTCTTCACTGCCAAGAGGATGTTGCGGGATCTCCGATGCCTGCATGTGCAACAGGGAGCGTGCGTGTTAGAATCTTTGATAAGCATACAAATGAGACTTAGACAAAGTCTCCCAGTGGCGCTCTGGTACCTGTAAAATGCGCCATTCGACTTGCTGCACCCTGGCCAGACAAGCCTGTAAACATAGTCCAGGCCGGACACGTTGTGTCTCCGCGGCGACCAGCCTGCACACATCGTCGACATCAGGGTGCTTGTATTGACAGAGATGTGGGAGATTCACCCTTGGAATATCATACTTAATCGCGTTACCTTTCAATCACGTCCCATTCCGTTCCCGTTTCGCAATGCACGCCCGCAGAATCGTAGTGGTAGAATTTCGGCTGGGCCGATGCCCATGGCGGGGTTGGATTTTGTAGAAGAGCTTTTGCGTTCGCGACAATCACAAGGCTGAAATGGAACCTGCACAGAGCATTCTTAGGGCGTTAGAGACGGCGGATATGGTATTGTGCCGTGCTTAGTGACGTAGGAATGGCAAGTTTGTTACCTTCCGGTGACCACGATAGCAACGTGGTCGAAGTCGAGGAACGACCGTTTAGCCGGGCAGCATGAAATGAGCTTGCCATGCTTTGACATATACTCGAAAGCCTTGGAGTCGAGAGCGATCCATGTCTTTCCATTTCCAAGGCGTGGATGCCGAATGTCAAGCAAGCTGTCAGGGACGTACGAGAAACCTTGTTATGTCACCCACTTGGCCACTCCGAAAACTCTGCACCAGCTTGAGATGCTTACATGTTGTGTAAATCGACTATGTTGTCGTTCACTGCCAGGTAGGACGACAACCGATCCAGGTCTGCACAGGAGACTGAAATTCCAAACGAGTGCCAATTGTAGATACTGCTTGTCTTCTTCTCCTCATGACCGTTGTGGTCATTCGTAGCGCCGTTCACCCGACTGTCGTGCTCCCCGCCTAATAACACCGTGGATGCTGCACTGCTGCCATCCATTGCACTGTAAGCTGGTTCCGCCACCTGGGGGCTGTATAGAGTAGTGTTCATGCTACGTCTGTTAATCTCAGCTGAAAGTGTTGTAGTGTGTGCTGGTTATCGTAGCGAGCCTTTGGCAAATGCTAATGATCTGATGTCAGCTGGGTGATGGTGGTCCGTGATATATATTTGTCGGCAGCCATGGGAGTCGTATTGGAGCGCTTGTCGGTGTGGTAACTTTCCAGGTGTTCATTTAGCTTATACATGCAATGTTCCTCGTTTCTATAATTCCGCGCAATTGTACTGTGCGGTGCACGTTCCGAAACACAGCGCCTACCCGGTGACTTGCGATGCACGACGGCGGTTTTCGAGTGTTTGTGTGTTTTCTAACGTGGACCAGTGATGTGCAGGCTGTATTAGCGACACCTCATGTCCAGACGGGCACGGTGCAGTCTGCAATATACGTTATGTCTGACGTGTTACACCGCTGCTTTGGAGGCCGCACTATGTCGCATGTGGCTAAGGTCAGATATTTAGCACGTCGAGTTATAACCGTTTATTAACGCCGCCACTATTCTCCGTTGCCGCCCCTTGTTGACGCGGAGATGACCGCAATCGTTCATATCTTTTCGCTAAAAAGTTGACTCCCGGCGGTTTGTTGATTTAGCGTCAAAAAGTTGCTACAATGCAGAGTCCAGGGTTATTAGCATAGCCATGCCATAACATGGTAAAGTCTGCTCAACGACCGTGGCATGCCGGCAATGCTATTTCTTCCATGCCTAAACACCTAACTACTAAACATGCACAAGCTGATATCAAAACAGAGGATTGGTCTACTGCAGAATCCGGGCCATGGTATGAAGTAAGGTTCCTGCCGCCGATGTATCAGACTCTTGCATCATCAAGCTGCGGTGGAAACACACAGGATACCAAGGTCACAATCAACCGTGGACAACAGGATGCGGCACAAATTAAAGATCGTACCTCAGTTGTAACCCTGATGCTCATCCAAATATTGCGGCTGACCACTTTGCGGTCGGGAGTGGCCCATGCCCGGGGGTTGTGTGGCAACGCTGCTGCTCGGCTGTGCTTGCGTGCGCGGAGGCGGCATGGTGGGGGCGTGCGGAACCTGTAGCAGTGGAGCCGGGGGAAGCTCCGGCATGAGCTGCCGCCATTCGCGCCACCTATGCCAGAGGCCACGCTCGGCGAGGCTTACCACGTGCTGCTTGGTGCACCCTCTGAGCAGCTGGTGCTCCGACGGGGTCAGTTCAATACTGCGCTGGATGCGATAACCCTGCGGCCTTACCACCAGTGCGGCAGCCTTGTATCCCTTGGCTGCCTCCTCGCTCGGGAAAGGGCCCATGCGTATGGGGTTGCCTGGGGGCGGCATCAACAGCTTGGCAACCCAAACATCTCCCTGCGCGGTAACACCTACGTACTTGTTCCTGGGACGTCCGCCGTTGTAGCCCTCGTTTGTAGCCCCGCACACACCAACCTCGCCACCGGCGTCGTGCATCCACTCCCCGTCGCCTTCACCCGCGGCACTCATACTCGGGATGGCGGGCGGTTGGAACGACTGCTGCGGGGGGGGTGCGGGCTGCGGGGGTCCTCCTTGCCAGAAGAAGGGCATCCTGGGCGGTGGAGCATAAGGTGGCCCGGCAGAGAACCCTGGGTATACGGGACCTGACGGGGGAGGCGCAGGTGGGAGAGGAGCGACCGGTCTCTGCGGCGGGGCAGCGCGGGATGTGCCCGGATGATAGTATGTCGCGTCCCGCCCCGTTGGCACGCTAGGCTGATGAGGCTGTGCAGGAGCGGGGCCGGGTGACGGCGAGGCAGGTGCGTAGTGTGGCTCACGGTGGAGCTGCTGCGGCGGCGCTGCGTCTTGGTCGGCCCCAATCCGCGATGCCTGCCGGAATCCTGCAAGGGGGGAGGCCGCGGTGTCTCTGAGCCCCGGGTCGGGACTAGAGTCCACCCGCTTGGATGGAGATGCCTTGTCACCTGGGCGATGCGCACCATGCGGGCCCTCTAAGTTCTTCGCAGTGTCCCGAGCCTTCTCCATTGCCCCGACTCGCTCAAACAGCTGCTGGCTCACACTGGTGAACTTCGACTGCAGCTCGGCATAGTTTGCGCGCAGAGCGGCGACTTCCTTCTTCAGCTGAAAGTGTTGTAGTGTGTGCTGGTTATCGTAGCGAGCCTTTGGCAAATGCTAATGATCTGATGTCAGCTGGGTGATGGTGGTCCGTGATATATATTTGTCGGCAGCCATGGGAGTCGTATTGGAGCGCTTGTCGGTGTGGTAACTTTTCAGGTGTTCATTTAGCTTATACATGCAATGTTCCTCGTTTCTATAATTCCGCGCAATTGTACTGTGCGGTGCACGTTCCGAAACACAGCGCCTACCCGGTGACTTGCGATGCACGACGGCGGTTTTCGAGTGTTTGTGTGTTTTCTAACGTGGACCAGTGATGTGCAGGCTGTATTAGCGACACCTCATGTCCAGACGGGCACGGTGCAGTCTGCAATATACGTTATGTCTGACGTGTTACACCGCTGCTTTGGAGGCCGCACTATGTCGCATGTGGCTAAGGTCAGATATTTAGCACGTCGAGTTATAACCGTTTATTAACGCCGCCACTATTCTCCGTTGCCGCCCCTTGTTGACGCGGAGATGACCGCAATCGTTCATATCTTTTCGCTAAAAAGTTGACTCCCGGCGGTTTGTTGATTTAGCGTCAAAAAGTTGCTACAATGCAGAGTCCAGGGTTATTAGCATAGCCATGCCATAACATGGTAAAGTCTGCTCAACGACCGTGGCATGCCGGCAATGCTATTTCTTCCATGCCTAAACACCTAACTACTAAACATGCACAAGCTGATATCAAAACAGAGGATTGGTCTACTGCAGAATCCGGGCCATGGTATGAAGTAAGGTTCCTGCCGCCGATGTATCAGACTCTTGCATCATCAAGCTGCGGTGGAAACACACAGGATACCAAGGTCACAATCAACCGTGGACAACAGGATGCGGCACAAATTAAAGATCGTACCTCAGTTGTAACCCTGATGCTCATCCAAATATTGCGGCTGACCACTTTGCGGTCGGGAGTGGCCCATGCCCGGGGGTTGTGTGGCAACGCTGCTGCTCGGCTGTGCTTGCGTGCGCGGAGGCGGCATGGTGGGGGCGTGCGGAACCTGTAGCAGTGGAGCCGGGGGAAGCTCCGGCATGAGCTGCCGCCATTCGCGCCACCTATGCCAGAGGCCACGCTCGGCGAGGCTTACCACGTGCTGCTTGGTGCACCCTCTGAGCAGCTGGTGCTCCGACGGGGTCAGTTCAATACTGCGCTGGATGCGATAACCCTGCGGCCTTACCACCAGTGCGGCAGCCTTGTATCCCTTGGCTGCCTCCTCGCTCGGGAAAGGGCCCATGCGTATGGGGTTGCCTGGGGGCGGCATCAACAGCTTGGCAACCCAAACATCTCCCTGCGCGGTAACACCTACGTACTTGTTCCTGGGACGTCCGCCGTTGTAGCCCTCGTTTGTAGCCCCGCACACACCAACCTCGCCACCGGCGTCGTGCATCCACTCCCCGTCGCCTTCACCCGCGGCACTCATACTCGGGATGGCGGGCGGTTGGAACGACTGCTGCGGGGGGGGTGCGGGCTGCGGGGGTCCTCCTTGCCAGAAGAAGGGCATCCCGGGCGGTGGAGCATAAGGTGGCCCGGCAGAGAACCCTGGGTATACGGGACCTGACGGGGGAGGCGCAGGTGGGAGAGGAGCGACCGGTCTCTGCGGCGGGGCAGCGCGGGATGTGCCCGGATGATAGTATGTCGCGTCCCGCCCCGTTGGCACGCTAGGCTGATGAGGCTGTGCAGGAGCGGGGCCGGGTGACGGCGAGGCAGGTGCGTAGTGTGGCTCACGGTGGAGCTGCTGCGGCGGCGCTGCGTCTTGGTCGGCCCCAATCCGCGATGCCTGCCGGAATCCTGCAAGGGGGGAGGCCGCGGTGTCTCTGAGCCCCGGGTCGGGACTAGAGTCCACCCGCTTGGATGGAGATGCCTTGTCACCTGGGCGATGCGCACCATGCGGGCCCTCTAAGTTCTTCGCAGTGTCCCGAGCCTTCTCCATTGCCCCGACTCGCTCAAACAGCTGCTGGCTCACACTGGTGAACTTCGACTGCAGCTCGGCATAGTTTGCGCGCAGAGCGGCGACTTCCTTCTTCAGGGTCTGCACGTCGGAGCTCGTCTCGCGGACGACACCACTCATCTCCGAGACGTCGCCACCGGTTGGCATGGCACCTGCACGGCTGAGCTTCTGTGGGGGAAGGGTGAGGCCAGCTGTTTGAAGGGCAGATAGCAAATTGCCAGATATGTAGGCGCACATGTCAGCCCGCCAGTCGCGACGGTAACGCAGGGGTGCAGTGGTGAATGCGATTGGTCCGCCGAGGTGTTGGAAGTTGGTGGTAACGTGCAAGTGGAGGTACATGCCGGCGTAAACACCACAGTCGAGACTCTTCTCGGGCTGACGCGGTATCTCGTATTGGATCTGTGCATAACAACCGTGAATCCTTAGTACACATTATGGGGGGAGACATGTGCGAAGGCCGGAAACTCAAGCATCTCACATCGAGTGCGCGATAGGGGATGGAGCCAATTCGGGACTCGACGTCCGGTCGGGACAGCTCGGGGTAGACTCGTTTCAGCTCCGACGCGAGAATCCTGCAATCGCACGTGGAAAAGAGATCAGCTAGTTTCGAGCCAAAACGGTTACAAACACCCTTTGAGCGCCTAAACTTACAGGCGGACGTTTGTGACGACTGCAGGGTTGGCTGCATGATGACCTGTGGAATCATACAGCCACAACTTGGGGGTGGGGAGCTCCTCACCACCGTCGGATGATGTCACAAGAGTGCGAGCGTTCTCCAGAACAAACAAGCTGAAGTGGAACCTGAAATGAACACGATGGTAGTGATTAGAGGGCCGTAGCCATTAGCAAAAGTACGGGCGGGAGATTGGATCACGTACTCAGCCGCGGCAAAAATTGCCACATAGTCGAAGCGCAAAAAGGAGTCCTTGTCCTCGCAGCATGCGATGAGCTTCTTTTGTGACACCCAGTAGTCGTAAGCTTTGACATCCAGCGCGATCCACGTTTTTCCGTTGCCCAATTTCGGATGGCGTATGTCCAGGATGCTGTACGGGTACGAACAGGGGGGTTGTGTCGCACATGTTAGAAGGAAGCAGTGTTGTAAAAATGGATCCGCGAGTATTGACATGCGATAAAACTTCTCCATAGAGTTGGCGGAACTTACATGTTGTGGAAGTCCAGTGCGGTGTCCGTGATTGGTGCATCGTCCTGCATGTGGAGAGCGTCGGCAACGTTCAACGTAGTGCCGAACCCATGCCAGTTAGAAACTAGCTTCGTGGGCCAGTTGCCACTCTTGACCGACGGTTCCTTCCTAGCTCGGCACGCCGGGGTAATGCCCGGGAGCTGCTTCATGCTCCGTGCCATGTCGGCAATAAGATCCTGTGCCGGTGGTAGCGACTTCTGGGGGGGAGGCGGGGGTTGGAAGGAATACGGTTCTTCCGTGGCTCGTGCCGGGTGCGCCCTAGTATTCGGGCCGGTCGCTGGTTGCTGTTCTGCACGAGTCGTCTTTTGACGTTTTTGGTGCTGGCCGCCCCTGTTAGGCGAGCGGCGACCGCTTGGGACTTTCGTAGCATCCTCTCCGGCCGTTACGGCATGATCCGACTCGGCCTCTACTTCCAATAGGTCGTCATCCTCCTCGTTATCAAGTGCGACTGGGTCGTCCGGACGGCCCGTAGGCATCTCTAGTGGCTAGAGGTGAACACGGGTGAGACTCAGGCTAACGGCAACGAAGGAGTAAAGGGCTCAAACTTGTGAACAACGGCTAGCGGGACTGCTAATGCGAGATTGTTCGAAATGGAACGGTGGAAAGCCAAACAGCGAGCACAAGACGGTGGGTATTGAGCAAGAATGACAATCAATAGGAGTGCGAGGGCCTGGGGTCTTGTGACGAATCACGGGCAACAACTGCACTCGCTTGCGGGATTTGCACGCTGAACAAGGCGAGCACCGATTGGATGCATATAGCGTCGCGAACGTCGTTTTATCCGGTACCCGTCCACGTGGGCTGTGCTGGTTTATCCTCATTCGCTCATGCTCGCGGTCTGTTTTTTAGCAAATCGGGGTTGTACACAGGGACAAGCATGCGGTGGCAAACCCTCATGGGTGTCCCTGAATGGTGAGAATCACACTGGTTGATTCCCCCGGAGGCCAGGTGGCGTGCAGCTGGCATGCTCATGAACTTTGTAGATAAAATGCGGATTGGACTTGGTTCGTTGTAATTAGCACGTTGGCCGTTTCACGCATGGTGTTAATGAGCATATGTGGCAACGGGGCTAAACGTACCACGTGGGCAGCTTTGTTCATGAACGGCTCCTTGCGATTGGTGCTCATTTTGTTGCTGTGAAATGTCAGGACACATTCAGCCAGTGCATCCGCGTTGACGTTAGACTGGTGCATGCAAGGTTTTTGGTGGGAAACTTGTCTGACATTGTTTACCGTGCTTATGAACCCTGGATCAGGGCTCATGTTATCAGTGTAATTTACCCTTCTATACTGCTGACAAGGGTAAAATTTTCAATGTACACTGATGGCCTGGGGTAATTTTTTGGGGCATTAGTGTTAAACTGATCTGTAAGTGTATCGGTTTAGTCCACACTGATGCTCTGGGGTAATGTTTCCGGTAGCGAGGTTTACACTGAAGGGCGTACAGACCCCCCCCCCCCCCCCCCCCCCCCCCCCCCCCTGTTCCCGGGAAGTTGTCAGATTGTGATTTCCGTCAATCACGCAAGTACCGAGGGTACCTTTCATACAGTATGTGCGTTGGCAGCAGTCACCTCTCCCATTGGTCCGTTTGGAATAATTCCCTAGCCAGCTCGCCACGAAACCCGGTGTTGCCATCAAGTACAGTATTGCTGCCTGAATCTGGTGGTTTCACTAGGACCACATTCAGATGGTCGGTGCGTGCACTTGTCATCCATCTCCCCGACCGAGGCGCACTCGGTGTATCGGTCTGGATGCATTGCCTTGTGGGTAGGGCAAGCACAGATGCAGTGTCGCCCCGCACCGTCGTTCCACCATCCCCACGTAGTTCCTCTTGTTCTAACCTCCCTTCCTAGCAGCCGAGCGACGTCTACCTCGTTGCCATGGCAGCCCCTGGAGACCTGGACGCTGACGATGCAGATGATGGAGACCCTTCCAGTAGCAACAGGCCTAGGACTGGCCTCGATTTCTTGAAAGGCAATGCTTCTGAACCAGGACCCAGCACTTTCGCCGAACCCTATGTTGACAGTGAGGGGTGGCATCATCCAGTGCGCACAGTAGTGCGGCAGTCACCACCGCGCCAGGAGGAGGTAGAGGACGAGGAAGCTGAATGGCAACGTCCCACGCGCATTGAGGGGGACCCCGTCGCGCGCGACAACGTGGAAACGACGGAGGTCGTTTCCGAAGCACCGGAGTCTTCTAACTCGGTGGCGCTGAAACGACGGCGCTACACGCAGACCACCATTGGGTTTGCGAGCGGCACGCCTCTCGTGAGGCCTCCACCACCGCCACCTCCCAAGGTCACTCCAGCGCCGTCACCTCTTAAGCTGACTGCAGCTGAACGCGCGGAGGCGAAGTTCCTGGAAGCTCAGCGAAACTACATCACGAAATGGCTCCCGCAGTTTGATTGGCTGTTGCTCGACAAGGGTGAGGATGGTCTGCCATGCTTGCGTTGCAGTGTGTGCAGTGAACATGGCCCAGACAACGCTCGTTACGGGAGGAATGGATGTGGCGGACGCGACTTGCAGCCAGCGTCGATGCGGGCGCACCAGGCCAGCACTCGACACGAGGAGTGCATCGAGCGGCAGCAGGGGCTTCTGGACAAGTTGGCTGTGCAGAAGAAGATCGACGACTACGAGAGAGCAGACCCTGAGGGCGCGCGCGTCATCAGGCTCATGCGGAGCATTCAATTTGTGTGCGACGAGGACGCACCGATCTCAATGTACCCAAGGCTCGTGGAGTTTCTGGCCAGAGAGGGTGTTTCGGACATTCCTCTACAGACCTACGGTGTTTATATCACGGAGTGAGTGCTGTTCATGCTTTCCCATATTCTGTTAATGAATACATATCATTTGGATGCTAACCCATGTTTGCGCGAATTGCAGGTACGGGTTCAAGGAGATGGTGAAGGCGATGTGCACTTATCAGCAGCAGCAACAGCTGATGTACATACACACGTCACCTTGGATCGGCATCAGCTGTGACGAGAGCACAGACAGAGCGCGCAGGAAGCATCTGGTAGTTTTCGTGACGTTCGTGAAGGATCGGCAAGTGGCGACAGAATTCTTCGCGCTGCTAACCGTGCAGAAGTGTGATGCTGCTAGTATCTTCACCGTCCTCCTAAGCCACCTGGAGACCGTCGGTCTAGAACTGCAGCGGATCGTCGCCATCAGCACCGACGGAGCGGGTGTGATGGTTGGCTGCGAGCGGGGTTTGACGGTGCGCCTCCGTGAGCGCATCCCTCATCTCGTCGGCACGCACTGCATAGCACACAGGTATGCGACGTCAATGGTTTTCCCGTGTTGTTCAGTCAGGCAACTTCAAGTGTTCTGACAGTTTTTTAAAACCATGTGCAGAGAAGTACTTGCAGTGAAGGAGTCGGCACTGAAGTACAAAGACCTCGACTTCGTGGACGCAGCTATCCGTGGGCTCGGCGACATCGTCACGAAGTCGTCCGTCTGGCACGAGCGCTTCAAGGAGCTGCAACAAGAGATCCACAAGACAAACCTCGAGCACCAGGGCCTTTTCGACGTGAGGTGGTTGTCGCGTGGAGACGCCGTGCAGCGGCTGTGCAAGGTCCTAGGTGCGGCGGTCGTAGTCTTCATCGAGTACGGCCACAAGTTAGCCGCCACGGTGCAGTCTCTGAAGTTCCACTTCTGCGTCTACTTCCTGGCGGATCTCCTGGCTGAGATCAACACCCTCAACAAGTTTTTCCAGCGCCGGAGAGTAAGCTATTTATAGTTTGATGTTTACTGTAGTCGGAGTTATGCATTTTGGGTTGTTAGCTCTTACCGCTGTCAACGTGTTTCCGCCACGATTACAGGTTGACATCACGCTCGTGCACCAGGAGGTGGACCGCACGATTGCCTGCATCAGGCTGCGCTACGTGGAGTACGACGAGAGCGGTTTTGGGGGTGGACTCAGCAAGCTGCTTACGCCATTCATCGCTCGCATGGCCAAAGGGAACAGGACGATCAAGGTGGACGGCGTGGATGCGGAAGGCGAGGCAACATCGCATGAGATCGTGCTGACCGAGACGCCGATAAAGGGACACAAGTACGGCGGAACGATGGCCGACTGCATCAAGCTGTGCAAGGCGTTTGCTCTGGAGGTGGCGACAAACCTGCACACACGCATGTACAGCCTGAAGGAGATGGAGGGCAGCGAACTGTACAAGGTGGAGTCGTGGCCAGAGGCGAAAGACAAACGGGAGCGACGAGTGGCGTAGTGGTTGGACGCCAACGCGCGTGTCTTCAAAAACAGGCTGCCAGGTGTGTTGTTGACCACGTGTACATATCTATTCTACTGTTCACACTGTGTTCGTGGTGCCAACATGGATCCCACAAACCTGTTGACTGATATCATTTTTGAACATTTTTTGTCAATTTATGTTGCAGGGTTCAACCACCGTGCGGCCGAGCTGGAACTGAAGAGCTTCTGCCACGTCATGTCGCGCCACTACGAGGACGAGGACTTCTACCAAGGGCTTGCAAAGATGCTGAAAACCAAGGACTGGCCACGCAGCTTCCCGAACCTGGTATCGATGTGGCAGGCGCTTGCAGTCATTCCGCTAAGTACCGTGGAGTGCGAGCGCGGATTCAGCCGGCAAAACGTCATAAAGAGCTGGATGCGCACATCGCACGGCGACGCCCGGCTATCCGAGCTGATGACCCTCAACATGCTGGACTACGAGTACAAGTGGCCCGATGTGGTGGACATCTGGCGGAAGCAGAAGAAGAGGAGACCCGCAAAAACACCCGCCCCGTACAAGCAATGTGCTGGAAAGGGCAAGGCTGTAGTGGAGTCGTCTGATAGCGAGGACAACCATGATGTAGAGTGAATGAGTACAATTTAATATTACAGAATGGCATACTAAAGAAAAAAGACTAAGCATACATCCATCAGTGCACGGAATAAACCTACACTGATGACCTAGTGTAAAATTCTCAAAACAATGAGTTACACTGCAAGATCAGTGTACTGGAAAATTTCACACTGCTCATAAGTGTTTTTGAAAAGGCCACACTGCCAATCGTGAGTTAGCCAAAACCAAACCTGAGCCCTGCCCTGAATCTTCGATTTGCTCAGTTTCTGTTGCTCACACGTCGTCTCAATGACTGCCATTTGGCGCTCATAGGACCATCGACTTGGTGGCGCCTTGTCGAGGCTAAAGTACGAGCTGTCACACGTAGGCCTGGCAACACTGTACTATGCTTGTATGGCTCCAACAATGTTGGAGGCTCTGGTTTGGGTTTCTGGCAAAAACTTCCGTTCTGACCGTACACTTACATCTACACTACCACTTTGCAGACAAAGTGCCGGGACCGCGCACCGCTCGCGATATAAGGTGGAGCGTGTGCCTTTCGGGTTGTGTAAAAATTTGGGCGCGATGAAAAAAATTCGCGAGACCTAAACCCGCGCCGCGGCAATTCTCTCATTTGTGTGTGTCTTGTGATTCTCGGGAGTGTTGGAACCGCGACTCGGTTTGCAGATGTTGAATACTCGAGCCTAGGTCGACCTAGGTTCAAATGTGTATAGTTCAACTCAAAATCCGAGTTTTGCATATAAAAACCAAAAGACACGCGCCCTAAGGTAAGGGCGAGGAGTGGGAGAAAGCAGGGGTGGGGTGGGAATCAGGAAGGGTTAGGAGTGGAAAGGAGAGGGGTTGAGGAGTGGGATTTCAGATGCTCCTCAAGAATCACATTACACGACTTTGATTCGAATATTCAGAAGCACATTACCACATTTTGATCGTCACCACACATCTCCAAAAGCAATATGTGGCATGGTCCATTGTCATTTGGCATCCAATAATTGAGTGTGACAGTCGAGATTGATCCTGATACAACACAACCTGTACACATTCAACGTGGTCGCGTAAATCAAAGATTGTCTGTCCTGCCACAAGCCATAGCAGGTTTCAGCACAGGCAAGCATGTCTGCTTGACTGCAACCCTGGATTGGATAGCAAAACCCCACGATGCATGCCTCAAGAATATATATTTTCTCACAGGCATCCTGGCATGGCAGATTGGCTGAAACAAGGGAGCTTCGGAGTGGAAGAGGTATGGAGAGACAGACAGTGACTAGGAGCAGACCTTGCAGGCCTTGCGGCACGCCTCGTTCATGTACACTGGGTTCTTCTCTTGATGCCAGCAAACCCCCCCAATCCCCCCCCAACCCCCAATGCTGCCATGCTGAATAGCAGGTTGCCTCTACCCTCTATGTGCAGACCTTGCATGCCTTGCGGCACGCCTCGTGCATGTACACTGGGTTCTTCTCACACTCGCCTGCCTCTGACCAGTACTGGCAGCTGTTGTGTGGGCGCATGGCACACACACACAGGGGAAGGGATAGATGTAGTGAGTGACATGAGCTCACAGATGGGGTAGTTGTGGCAGTTGTGGCAGCTGCAATACTACCATCCAACATGCAGGGGAAGGGGCTAGGGGATACGACCTGAGCACATGCAGGAGTGAAGTCGTAAACAATGATGAGATTTCATCCTAAACACTTCTCCCTTTGCTGAAGTACCAGCAGTAAAAGCGTCACCAGTCTCAAGCGGCTTTTCAAAGATCCCATGCACCGCACACTAGCAGTACAAGCGGCTTCAACCCACCCTCCTACAGAGTAGCCCACCTTCCTACTCAAGCAGCTTTTCAAAGATCACATGCTTCGATCCGTCGCGGCCTGTGTGCTCCTTCATCGCTACACTCCTCCACACCAGTGAACATTCCCAATCCACACACCATCCCCCACTCGTATGCGCTGTCACCAGTGCACTCCCCTCCCACTTACTATGCATTGCTGTCCGTGCACGCGCCGTCACCCCCACCAGCAGCAGCGCCATCAGCAGCCGCGCCGTCAGCGCCAGCATCAGCAGCGGTGAGCGGCTTATCAAAGTCTGCCACGTGGATCCACTTGGGCGCGGACCACTTCACACCGTGCACCACCGGGCAGGCATAGTGCAGGCTGGCGGGGTCAGGCGAGCCGTCAGGATGCAGGTTGAAGAAGAGGAGTGCATCCCCCTTTTCCGGCTTCACTGGTGGGGTGAGTAGGGGATGGGAGAGGGAGGAGAGGGAGGAGAGGGAGGAAGGACGACATATTGACGCCATGCACCACGGGGCAGGCGTAGTGCAGGCTGGCGGGGTCTGGTGTGCCGTCAGGATGGAGGTTGAAGAAGAGCAGCGCGTCTCCCTTCTCTGGCTTCACTGGTGGGGTGGGGAAGAGAGGTGGAAAAGGGGATAGAGGGGAGATGGGGTGAGGAGGAGGGAGGAAGAGGGAAGAAGGGAGGGCGGGGGGGGAGGAAGGGAAGGGATTGGACGTGCCATTGGGATGCAGGTTGACAAATAGGAGAGCGTCTCCTTTCTCTGGCTTCCCCACCATCCCCACCATCCCCACCATCCCCACCATCCCCACCATCCCCACCATCCCCACACCCCACCCCCATCAGCCCCACAACCCCCGCCACTCACCAGTCGGAAAGCCCTTGGCACAATCAGACCAGGTCTCATCCTTGGGCAAGCCATTCTTGACTTTCGGAAGCACAGTCTCGATCTTTAGAATCACATTGTTGACGTACATGAGCACTGCGGCGTAGCAGTGGCCCTCATGCATGCATGTGTGCTCACACTACCCACCACTCACCAGCCAGAAAGCCCTTAGCGCAATCCGACCAAGTCTCGTCTTTCGGGCTCTTATCCTTGACTTTAGGGAACTCGGCCTCGCCCTGCCAGCGTGACGTGATTGAGATATATGAGCACCACCAAGCCTATCAGCCTCAACAGCCTCACCACCAGCCCCATGCTCTCATCACCACTCACCCGCCAGAAATCCCTTCGCGCAATCCGACCACGTCTCATCCTTGGGCGAGTCATCCTTGACCTTGGGGAACACGGTCTCCCCTGCTAGACTCACGTTATTCAAATACATGAGCACCGTGGCGTAGCGGTGGCTCTGCTGCAGCACCATGCATGCTCACACACACTACCCACCACTCACCAGCCAGAAAGCCCTTGGCACAGTCAGACCACGTCTCATCCTTGGGCGAGTCATCCTTGACTTTGGGGAAGACAGTCTCCCCTCCTAACGTCACGTTGTTGAGGTACATGAGCACCGTGGCGTAGCGGTGGCCGCCCCTCTGCGTGTTCACGGGGTCGTGGAAATAGTCCACGTGTGGCTCGTACTTCTGTCCTTTAGTGTAGCGCAGGACCTGAAGAAAGAGGGAGAACGATGCGAGGAAAACAGGGGTTGTGCATGGGTTGTGAAATAGTCCACGTGTGGCTCGTACTTCTGGCCCTGCGTGTAGCGGAGAACCTGAGGGTAACAAGGGGTTGTGCATGGGGGTGAGAGGATGGGTCACAAGGGCACGACTGTGACATTGGCCATGGAAATAGTCGACATGGGTACTTCTGACCCTTGGTGTATTGCCGGACCTGACGAAAGAGGGAGAACGATGCGAGGGAAAGACGGGTTGTGCATGGGTCATGGAAATAGTCCATGTGCGGCTCGTAATTCTGGCCCTGCGTGTATAATGAGAAAGGGGGCTCCTGTGGAGCCTATAACGAGCCACAATGTGCTCACCGCCAGCATATAACGTGTATAACGAGTCACCGGGGACTGACACTCACCTGCAGGGGCAGTAAGGTCCACTCGTCGTGCACAGGGGACGTACCTGGAGCCTATAACGGGTATAGCGACTGACATGGAACTCACCTGCAGTACTTCCTGGTTCTGGAGGGGCAGGAAGGTCCACTCGGCATGCACAGGTGCCTATAACGAGTATAAAGAGTGACAGAGAGGTGCCTCACCTGCAGCGCTTCCTGGTTCTGCAAAGGCAGGAAGGTCCACTCGGAGATGCGCTGCTCCACTGCCTTCATAACAGCGTCCTCGCCCTTGGTGAGGAACGCGCCTGAGCTCGTGCGGATGTCGCTCACGAAGCTGCTGCCGTCGTCGTTGTTCACCACGCCCGAGCTATAGAGGGCAGGGGGGCGCGGGGACGAGGGTGGGGAAGAGGGGGGGGAGAGGGAGGAACCCGTGTGACTCGCTTGCTATGTCGCTCACGAAGCTGCTGCCGTCGTCGTTGTTCACCACTCCCGACCTATAGAGGGCAGGGGGGGGAAGGGGAGGATGGACGAACCTGATGGTTTTGTGAGTGCGTGCGTGCGTGCGTGCGTGCGTGCGTGTGTGTGTGTGTGTGTGTGTGTGTGTGGAAGGGGGGGGGGGGGGGGGGGGGAAGAGGGATGAGGTGAGGGGAGTGGGGGGGAAGGGGCCCGCGCGCGCGTTGCTGTTGTTTTTTTTTCCTTTTATTCATTTATCGTTCTCACGTGATGTAAGTGCGTCATGCGTGGTACTGACGAAGCACTGCACTGTGTCGGCCTCAGGTCCCTCGGGACTCACTGCTCCCGTCTTCCCGCACACACGCACGGAGCGAGGTCTACCCGCCCATCGCCTCCCCTCACTGCTCTATCACTAACCCTCCCTGGAACCTGAGGCGCTAACGTTCTTTACTGTATTTGTGCTCCCTTGCTCACTATCAGTAACCCCTTCTGCGCCCACCCACCGTTCGAGGCGAGGCGTCGCGCGTGCGATGATGTGGTCGCACTCCGCGTCGCTGAGGAATCGCTTGTAGAGGAACGCGCGCGGCGCCCATGGCGACAGCAGCACCACGCGGCTCAGATCCACGCCCGCCACGCCGCTGCTACTAGCAGTGCCTGTAGCGGCCTGCGGGCGGGGATAGGGATGGTGACGCATACCCGTTACAAGCACACACATTCAAAAGCTGTCCACGCGGCTCAGATCGACGCCCGCCACGCCGCTGCATCTTCCAGCAGTGCCTGTAGCGGCCTGCGGGCGGGAAGGGGAGGGAAAACAAAATGAAGGGAGAAAAGAGGGTGGGAGAGGTTGGGGGTGGAGGGGGAGGAGGGGAGGGAGGGGAGGAATATGTCTCCCGCGTTTACGAAGATCGCACGTCTCAAAAGACGTCCACGTGGCTCAGATCTCGCCCGCAACGCCGCTGACGGCAGAAGCAGTGGGCGTTATAGAGCACTTTTGAGGCCCCTCAAAAAGGGGATATGAACTACACTGGCGTGAGCATCAATGCACCGTCTAAAGTGAATTACCAAGTACACACTACCACATGAAGAGGAAAAGAAACTGCGAAAGAGCTAGGCCTCGTCTCGCACTGTGCTACACGACGCGCGGAAGCGGAACCAGATGCGAGGAAACGCGAGGGCAATCTGATCGCGAACCGCTACAAGGAAAAATGCGGGGATAACGGCTTGCCTGTGCGGTCAGCGTGCCAGCTTGCGCATCGGCCGCTGAGACGTCGGCAGGAGCGACTGACGTGGCGAGGAGAGAGAGGAGAGCGAGTAGAGTGAGGAATGCGAGAGTTAGACGGGACCGTGGCTCCATAGCTCTCAGCGGGAATCGCGAGGAGCGCGAACACAGAACAAATGAGCGGGAAGGTTCTTGATGGGACGTGGATGCAAAGCAACCGTGGGAAATGGGCTGCCTCCGATGAATGCTTCTCGCCTAATGTTGCTCTAGCGTTGCGTTGTGAGGGAGTTGTGCAATGTGCAATGGGAGCAGGGAAACTTGGGAGAGAAGGGGAGTCGGGGTCGCGTCGTCGACAACGCAAAGGTTCTGCGGTGTACTCCATTGTAACTTTACAGTGGTTCGGAGAATTAAAACACGGTTTAGAGCGGTACCTTCCCAGATTTTGAGCAATTATCCACGGATCACGCGCACTTTTGTTTGGAGGGCCGTGCGCTGGAGGAGCACGGCATTGACTTTGTCGACACCAGAGCGCTGTCGATTGGTCCGGCCCCAGAACTGACGCTGAGCTGTCCCAGAACAAGCCCTGGTAATATCTGGGAGGCCTGGCTCGTTAGGAATAGAAACATATTATTATGTTAATCATTTACATACAAACCACACAATAACTTAGAATATGACTGAACTATCCAACGGGCGTTTGGCGTACGTGTTGTAACATGTTATTCCCCTACCCTAGTGGATATCCACCATCTTCCCTGGGGAGCGCTCTGTGACGAGCCTGGAACAAGTTAATAAGGACGGAACATGTTTCCGATGAGCCAAATAGGTTTAAAGAAAGGGATCTTTTTTCAAGGGTAAAATGCCGATTGCCCTCTCTTGTTACGATGTGTTTTACGAATAGCAATGTTTGAACATTACTGTGCACTCCTCACCGCAGCTAAGGAAGCACGCAGTATCGAGAACGAATGCGAAAAGTCGAAGCTGACTCGAAGCGTCGCAGACGGTTGAATTACATCTGGATCGTCGGAGTAGACGGCATTGGCAGCTGCGACGAGGAAATTGGCGGGAACGTTTTTTCGTAACTGTACGCGCCACACGGTTGAAATGTATCTGAATAAGGGAATGTACCCCTTAGAGTACATGGCTAGATAGGTCGATTCATATTCCCTGTACTCATATTTATATCCTTTGTTTTGCATGTTTTTTATCATCTCAAGCATTTACATTCACTCAGCTATTGAGGTCAAGGGCCCACCAACACTATCTACCTGCGTGCGAACCTTCCCGAGTAGATCCTGGCAGCGATCACCTATTGATCGTAGCATGGTATGAGAGCGGCTCTGGAATCTTTTGCACTGCCACTCCCGAAAATTACGACATTCGGAAAGTGGCGTCCGGCACACGATCGCGTGTGAGAATGGCCGGAGGATCTGGTGGTCAGACTAATCTGACGGCTGAAGCGCAACCCAACCCAGCTGCAACAAGCGAGGAAACGACGATTATCGGGACCGAAGTCCTTTTCACACTTAGGCAGGAATGGTTGTGACTATCGAGAGGAAAACCCTAACGGGTTATACCCCACAGTATCTACCCCACTACAGCCTACCATAAGTATAACATATATATATGTTTGACACACCCCCATAGGCAAAGTGGGGGAGAGCAAGAGGTCACAAGACCAGTCAAGAAAAGCAAAGCAAGCCCAGGGTGGATCACAACGTCACCACACACACTGAGCACAAGCAAGAGGCCACAAGGCCAGTTCACATGCAGAGATATATATGCAACAAGAACAGCACAGTGATCACTACCTAGCAAGAGCAAGCATGCATGTATATATATATTTATATATATATATAAATAAATATATATAGATCACACTACAATCAAGTCTACAGCAAGTGTGGAAACGTAGGCACAAGGCCTAACAAAGTACAAAAGCGCTGATGATCACCAGACGGAAGTGCCTTGGTGAATATATCAGCAGCGTTGGCCCCAGTGGCCACGTGAGCAAGACGAAGCTGACCTCGCTGCTGCAACTCTCGAGCCAGGAAGTAACGTAGAGCGATGTGCTTTTCTGCGCTCTAGTCTGTGCTCCTGACACAAGGCAATAGCGGCCTTGTTGTCGACGTACAGAACTGGAGGAGAACGAGGCCTCTCTCCCAAGTCAGTCAGCAGGTAGGTGAGCCAGCGTAACTCCTGTGCAGCCATGGCTGTGGCGTAGATCTCAGCCTCACAATTGGAGCTGAGAACAGAAGACGAGCGCGTGGACCGCCACGAGAAAATAGAGCCAGAGCCAAGGCTGAAGGTGTAACCCTGTGACGACCGCTGCGTAGCCTGGTCGTCAACCCAAGACGCGTCAGAGTGTCCAGTGAGGACAACGTCGCTCCGTCCTCCAAGCACGAGCCCCATGCCCGATGTACTGCACAAGTAGCGCAGTACCCTCTTTGCAGCATCCATGTGCACCTTTCGGTGCCGACCAGGAGCCACGTAGCGAGCCAAAAGGCCAAGAGGGTACGCGAGGTCAGGTCGAGTGCAGGTCATCAGGTACATGAGGCAGCCTACTAGCTCTGCATAAGGACCACTCGACTCTACGGACTCGTCCAAAGGTGGAGCTGAGAGCGAGTGACCTGTAGCCAGCGGAGTGGGCTGTGGGGAGGACCAGGTGAAGCCGAAGCGCTGAAGGACCTGCTGCACCATGTGTGACTGAGTCAGTGTGATGGTGCGGCGTGCTCTGTCCCGGATGATCTGCAAGCCAAGGTAACTGCACAGCTCACCCAGGTCAGTGCATGCGTGTCTCTTCTGCAGCTCTAACTTCACCAGAGTGAGAGCCTCAGTGTCAGCAGTAGCAAAGACCAAGTCGTCGACGTACACGAGGATGTAGAACGGCGGCAGTGAAGTGTCGGTGCGCAGAAACAGCGACGGGTCAGCAGTCGAAGGAGCGAACCCAAGAGCCGCAAGTGTAGTCGGCGGTGTGTCGTGACACTCACGAGGCGCCTGGCGGAGTCCGTAGACTGGCCGCCGGAGGCTCCATTGGGTACCAGGAGGGAACGACCCAGTGAAGCCAGGTGGGTGGCGCAGCCAGATCTCCTTGTGCAGGCTGCCCTGTAAGAAGGTTGTGCTGAAGTCAAGAGAGTGAAGCTCGTAGTCACGTTGAGCGGCAACGTGCAGCAACACCCGAAGAGTGGTCATCTTCGGGGTAGGGGAGAAGGTCTAGAAGAAGTCAACTCCCTCACACTGACTGAAGCCTCTAGCAACGTAACGAGCCTTGAAGACAGGCGGAGAACCCGGCGGCCGCTTCACCCTGAAAATCCACATGCCATCGACGATGTTCGCCCCAGGAGGGGGAACCTCATCGATGTAAGTGCCTGTGGACTTCCAGGATGCCATCTCTGCGTCCATGGCTGCCTGCCACTGAGAGGAGTACTCACCCGCGATCGCCTCAGCGTAAGAGCGCGAGGTCGGGATGTCTGGCACATCCGGGTCTCGCTCAGGGGCAAGTAGCGTGGCCACGAGATGAGGCGCAGTGGCTGCAAGACACTCAAGGTCCTCGTGCCTGTCCTCAAGGACGTCCGTGCTAAGAGCACACTCACCCCCGACGGACGGAGGTCAGACAGACTCAGACTCAGCAACAAGACTAGCGGCGTAGTCTAGACAACAGGCAGCAGCAAAGTCAACAAGCTCAGCGACCAAGGCAGACGCAGCAGCAGACTCAAACAACGGGTCAGTGACAACAGTGGCTAACAGACGCGTGACAGTAGGGTGCTCAACACAAAATCGGTCAGACTCAGGGTCGGCAACGTCAGGCAGAGAGGACGCAGGGGGAGACGGCAGAGGAACAGGCTGCGGAGCAGAGGAAGGACGACGGACTACGAGGTGTGTGCCGGGGACAGCCGGCTGACGCGAACGAGGAACACGACGACCAGTACGACCAGGACGAACAGGCGAGACCTCCTGGCTGCTCAGCAAGACCTCCTGGCTGCTCAGTGTAAGGAGAAGGAGCAGGCAGCGGTGAGCCAGGCTGTAACGGAAGACCAGTAGAAGACGGGAGACTAAGAACCTGGCGAAGCACAGAGTCAGGCGGTGGCTGAGACGACGGAGACGGCGGAGCGAAGAACAGTCGCGGCGGTGCAGTGCCACCAGCACCAGCAGCTCCAGCACCTCTAGCAGCTCCAGTACCCCCAGTAGCTCCAGCACCTCCAGAAGCTCCAGTACCTCCTGCAGATCCAGCACCCCCAGCAGCTCCTGAACCTCCAGCGCCAGCACCTCCAGGACCAGCTCCACCAGCAGCAGCACCCCCAGAACCGGCACCTCCAGTCCCAGGGTCTCCAGTCGCAGTGTCTCCAGTAGCAGCACCCCCAGAACCGGCACCTCCAGTCCCAGGGTCTCCAGCCTTAGTGTCTCCAGCAGCAGCACCCCCAGACACAGTACCTTCAGCCCCAGCAGCTCCAGTACCTCCAGTACGAGCACCTCCAGGACCAGCGACTCCAGCACCT